GTGTGAAACTCTAAAGTCACATACATACACACTTCATGTACGTACAAACATAGAATAACTGTGCTATAAATTTAATAATACAATGTAAGATGTAAAATCGTAAATGACGTAAATGAAGACATTCTGACTCCATAACAACATATGCAACGGTCTCTCTCGGCTCACTGATTGCTACAGGGAACGTGATCTCGAGCATATAGAGCCCTTTCTGACTGGCCCTCAAGTCTCACACCATCCTGGGCGACCAGGCTCCCCAAGTATTTCTGTTGCCCAGCTGTGCCGTGTCCTTCTGTCTCTTTGTGCTTTGGGACATGTGAGTTTTTGGGACACACCCCACACCTACCACCTGACAAACTTCATTTTCAAGCCAGAGTCCCCAAGCAATTCCTCCTGAGAGCCCTCCCTCGTCACAGAGCGAGCCAGGCCCTCTTGGGCGACCCGCGGCACTCTGTATCCCCATCAGGCTCTTACTGCTATCACCAATCTGCTGGGTTTTCAAACCACACAGGAAGAGAACCCAACAGACCACAGCTCGGGGATCTCATGCCGAGGGTCACTGCTTTAGTTACAGAGGCGCGAGCGGCAGCGGAGCTGGAAGACACAGTCACACGGGGCAGGAGTCTGAGAGTCATATACGCGCCTCCCCCGTCAGACGGGACGTTTCTACAGGGCATGAATTTTATTCGTTTTCCAATCTCCAGGGCCTAGTGTGACGGCCCAGCCGTGGTAGCTGCTGTTGGCAGGCGTTGCTGAGTGGACTCTGACTCACAGCGACCCCGTGTCACAGGGCAGGTTCCCACTGCCAAGTTCTGGGAGAGCAGCCGAATGCTCACCTCGGCACCACTGCACTCCACGCCCCGGGGTCAGTAAGCACCAGTGCTACCAACGTAAGAGAGGGTGTGGTCAGCCAGGACGGTAGGAGGTGGAGAACACGTGCTTCGGCTTAGTGTTCTTTTGACCACAAAAGTAAACAGACCCAAATGGAATAAAATACTGCTGTATGATGACGTAGTTTTGGGATAATATTACATATGCAAATGTTGAGCCTAACTGGAAAGCAGCGTTTGTTAACAACCCACTTTAACTGTGTCCGTGGGCAACCACCAGCCCCTACACCAGCACCTGTCCCCTCAACAGTTGCTGGGCACCGGCACTGCGCGAGGAGCCACGGGCCAGAGTGTGGAAGGGCTGAGCCACGCTGCTCCCGCCCGGCTTCTAGCACAGCGGGCCTGCGGTCGGCAGCACCGGGGGCACGTCAGACATGCAGAAACTCGGGCCCCAGGCCAGTCCTGCAGAATCAGAATCTCCTTTAACAAGAGTCTTGGGATCTGTCTGCACATTCAGTGTCGAGAAGGCGGAATCCAGACCACTCTGAGACTCCTCCCCTCTCGTGTAACATAGGGCCAACAGCTACATTCCACGTAGTGAGCGTTAAGTGTCCGTGAGGTGCCTGGTGCTTTCAGTTTCCTTTCTAGAATGTGGGGCTCGTAATGCATACGGACAATAAAGTATGCTCTGAAGACCACAAGTGGTGAGAGATGTCAAAACAGGTTGGTATACTGTGAAGACTCTTGTTTTCGATGCCATAATGTACAGAAAGTAAGATGAGTGCTGGAACTTAAGGAAGAAACGTGTGGCTCAGGAGGGGAAACAAAACTCATCTGCCTAAAGCACTGGCACATGCCATTCCCAACCGCACAGCGCTGACGGAGAGCACAACAGGAATGGGATCTCGGGGGGCTAAGGCGGGCAGGGGAGCCGTCCTGAAGAGGGTGGGCCCGGGGGACGGGAAGGGCCTGCTCAGCCAGAAAACCGGTGGCAAGGGCGTTCCTCAAGAAAGAACCAGCACAAGCAAAGGCCAAGCAGCAGCAGTCAGTACAACCTGCGGGAGCAAGAGATGGAGCAGGCTGCGGCAGGGGTGCGGGCGGGCGGGCGAGCGGCCTGCAGGGCGCTGGGCTTCACCGCCTCGTCTGCGCTCCACCCAGGCCCTGAGGTTCCAGGCTGCCCCATGCTGTACCGCGCGGTGCTGACCGAACCAGGCGGCCCTGACCGCACCGAGCCGAGAGCCATGAGCGCTGGGAGCAAACATGCCTTGCTCTCAGTCTTGGTGGATGCAAGTGGCAATCCAAGCTCACAGGTGTCAGGGCTGAGCCCGAGTGGGAGGGTGTGTGGCAAGGCCAGACTGGTGAGGCACCAAGAGGAGCCTTTTGCAGCCCCTCCTCTTCCTCTTGGAAACCTACGACCCCAAAAGCCCGGTATGTGGTGAGACAACAATCTCAAAGGCAGTGAGGAAGAAAGCATTTCACAGTCCAAGGGGGTTAAACATGACGTGAAGTGTTAGGCAGGGACTTACCTTCCTAGTGGGGGAGATTTACTAACTTTCTTGCTGGTGGATAACTTCTCTTTGGCTAATTTTTGGCGATTTCTGAGAGAAACTGTTTCGGGACTGCCAAGTTTGGACGTTGCACGTGCAGAAGGCTCGCTATGATGCTGTCTGAAACAGATTATAGAGACACTGGGCAACAGGTAGGTGGAACGGTGGCCGGCACACTGCAGTCCCTGCAACTACCTAGAAAGGCCAAGGCTCCTCATGGGCGAGTCAGAGCAACGGGACCAAAGCAGGAGAGCGGGTGCTTTTCTTGACGAGTGCTAATGAGCAGATCGCGACGTGACCCACAATGACCCCTGCCTGCCTAACTCTTGGTCTGCACTGTGTGTGATACTCTACTGTGACTTAGAAACCGAAGACAGGGAAAACAGAAAACATGCCGGCTGACAAAATGGAGATCGAGCCCAAAGAGCTGGTCAGAGTGCAGGAAGGGGCCAGGATTCCAAACAGACAACTCAGCAGGCTAAATGTCAAGGCCCTGTAACTGGGTCCCAAGAGCCAACTGCTGAAGTATCAGGTAAAGAGAAGACCTGACTGACCAGCAAAAATCCTAAGAAAAACGACTTGCTTAGCTGGTGTACACTTCAATCTGAGGCAACCCTGTGACGCATATTTGAAGCACAGGACCTACAAAGTAAGGTGGGAAATCCTCTTCTAGAATCATCAGACCACACTGGGTACAAAACATTTGCTTCTTAAATGGATAAAGACAAACTGAGGAGAATAAACAGCAATGATGAGGAAGCTCAAAACAGGAGGGGATGACCAGGAAGCTACCCTCAAATGTTGCAGAGAAAGCTACCGAGAAGATCCCGACAACAGAACGAGGATTTAGAGTCGGAGCTACACGAGGCCGGCTTCCACGGGATGCGTGGAAGGGCACGCTGAGCAGGAAGCGGCCTTCCCGGCCACTGAGTAGATGGAAAAGCAGCAGGGCCATCTGAGGAGCAGCCGGCGTGGCAACTCGGCCACTTATGGGTCAGTTGGGGATCAGATGACCGCTGAGGCCAGCCCATCCCGAGAATCTCTGAAATTATGGAGACACCAGCACCCTGGAACCAATCAGACAACACCAGAGATCCAAACTAAAGAAAAAAGGAGCCATTTGTGAATCAGAGTTCCGAAAACACATTAAGAAAGAGTTTCAACTATGGAACTAAATAAGTCAAATAAGATTTATTTTTGAAGGACAAATTTTAAAAGGCTAATCTGGTGGCTGTTTTCAGACACTCACTCGAAGGTGGCTAGGTCTGGGGAACGTTCTCTGAGGTGAGCCCCGCTGCGTGGGATGATCTCCAGGACTGTTTAAGAGGGAGGTGGTGGTGCTAGGGGAGTGTTCTGCATCCCAATGCAGGGGTGCTGGGCTCCAGCCCCCGGAATTCTCCTACTAGCACGAAAGCTTGGCTCTGCGAGCTCTCCTCTATTTCTCTGAGTTGCCCCACCTACACAGCAAATGGTATCACCTTACCTTTAGCCGTGTGAGCTCTAGAATCTGACTCCTTGAGAAATCAAACCCTGGCAAAAATGGCTCATAACATACAAATGTGGAGGGATTAGGAATGTATCTTTATGTAAATACAAGGTGCTGACTATTATACTAGAGCGATGATAGGTGCTAATAAGCGATAGGACTGAACGAGACGTTCCTGAAATCTTGACTGATCTTAGATAATGAAATAAAAAAAAAGGAACCAAGATGAACAAGCCTGTCAATCATATTAAAAATGGAAAATATTCTTGCTCTGGAGAAAGTCATGAACCATTAGGATGCAACTGTATAAGGATGCAACATTGCTCAAAATGTGCTGTGGGGGACACTGACTGGTGCTAACAGGCTTAATAGGTAGAGTGGTCAAATAAGGTTTGTTTAAAACAAAGGTAGATGGTTTCTTTCCTTGAGGACTTTGCCAAGCCTTAAATAAACGAACGTGCACATGGCTTTCGAAGAAGGGGAGAGAACTCACTGGCATTCCTAAACTCCTCTGCCCATGGCACTATTTTCCTAGAGCCTTTTGGCTACTCTAAGCTTTGGAAGAACACACACTTTAGGAAATATGAAATGTCGCTTAGGAAGTCACAGATGTCAAACACAGGCGATGTCACACGGTCTGTCTAGTGCAGCTCTGGTTAGGTGCACCTGACAGCAGAGGCGCACGTGCCTGCTCGCTCACGGGAGGTGATACGTGACGTGCAGAGAGGGTCTCAGCCCATCACGCTCGGCATGATGCCTGAGACACAGCAGATGCTTCACAGGTAGCAGGAAAGGAACAGAATGGGCTCCACTCAACAGGCATTTTAAAACTGGCAAAGATTCCAAGATGGATTCTCACAGTGGCTGCAGTGAAGGGCTCAGACCCAGCAAGGACTGTGAGGATGGTGCAGAACCGGCCAGTGTTTCATTCTGTTCGATACAGGGCCACTCTGAGTCAGTGCCCACTCGACAGCGCCTAACAATGTAGCAAAAACAAAGATTCGACGGGATCCCAAAAGATGGTTTAAGATGGAAACGTGATCTCCAAGAACCAAACTGTCAGAGGGCTGAGAGCTCACGCTCACTGCTGGAGATGAAATGAAAGGAAACTGCTCACGTCGGGGTATGACTGATGTCATTAAAGGAGAAGCCCAGGAAAGCAGGAGCCGTTTCTGGTGGGAGAGCCGGTCTAGGAGCCCTGGCTGCCCGTTACCTCTGAGCCTCCGATCTGGTGGCGGATCTCGTGGTGGCTCCCGAGGGCTCATCGTCCTCCTCCTCTTCCTCTTCCTCATCTGACTCCTGGTCTTTCTTGTCCTCAGTCCCGTCAGAAACCCATTTCTGGCGTTTTCTTTCTGGCTCTGAGGATTCTGTTCAAACAGAAGGGTAACACCTGGATTGTACAATTCCCAAAGACACTTCCAAAGGGCAGAGTCACAGAGTTTAGAAGAATGTGGGATGGGACTCAGAGGTAGAAGAAGTGGTTTTCCACTTCCTTTGTGTTCAGCACTTACAATTCACAATTGTTTAACTGAATCTCAAACACATTTGGGATAGTTTACTTAGGCAGTTCACAGCCAGCATTCATGAAAAATTCACATGTACTCAGAGAAGCGTCTGGGATGTACCATTTCTGACATGGGATTAGAAGCATTTCCCACATATTTATGTAATATGAATACTAGCTGTGACCTGCTGGATTGTCCCTCATCCAATGGAAATCTTTTAGAAAGGTGCTTTTGAAGGACAAG